TTGTTATTGCAAGCCAGATGTTGCAATTCTAAACTAGTAATAGAAGGGTGATTATTTCCAATATAATATTAACAGAACCTGACAGGCATACCCCGAAGACTTTATCTTTGTTTATTTTCCCAAATGTACAATAATAAGTGTGGAGAAATTATCATGACATAAACTCAGACTAGGCTTGCTCGTGTTAAAGTCTACTCAGTATTGGTGAAATTTCATCTAATGATGAATGGCTTCCTTTAGTGTTGGTTGTAATGTATAACAACTATCATAGAAACATGGAATATCATGTCTGTGTTGATGCTAGCTACCCCTCTGGAGCTATTTGCTCTAATTTTCTGTCTTCATATTTAGGGAAATTGCAAGGTGTCATGTCAAAATTCTCATATCATTGATAGAGACATACTTTGATCACACTCAAGACATACCTCTTTGATTGTACTTTCACTCATCTCTGTATCCCTGTATCTCACCCCTGTATTAAACACATAAGCTTTGATATTTTTTAATAAATTAAATCATGCACTTGAGATGACAGTTGAAAAGAATTTTTAATTGATCATAATAAATAAACAAACCAACCAACGAAACAAATAAATACATAAATAAAAAAGCAATCCTTATGTGTGATACAACACTTTTCACGTCAAGAGGATGTGACAAAGCGTTTTGTGGGATATACTCTAAAGTGTAGTGACTATGTATTTGGCAGACAAACTTGATCTTGTGGGAACACAACCAAAACTAAAACATCCTGTGTGTCATGAATGCTGTATGATTGCACTCCTTTATTCTGTTATTTCGCTAAACTGTGCACAGAGAACTACTGAGGAACAGCTAGTTGAAGATTAGTTGAATCACAGTTTGGTAGAAATGCAAATAGGGTTAACCTATCCTTCCCAGTAGGTATCATATTCATCCAATAATCCCTCAAAATTGTGGATTGCTGCAATTATTGGACTTCATCTGTACCTCCTTAACTTTTCTGCAAATGTTATCAATGTTTGTGCTAAACAGACTATGCCAACAAAAAATCTCATTAATTGTTAGGCAAATGGGAAAGGGATTTTTTATGGATACCGACTCTTTTCGTTCACTGAACAAGGGGAACTCAGTTCAACAAGGGGCCAGGATATGAGAATTTGGAAAATGGCCAAAAAATTCAAACTTCTAACAAACTGGAGTATTATACCCTCTTGTTATTGCAGAGCTTAGCATGTTCCAAAGTTTGGCAAACAGTGCACAACAACTCAAAGCAACATAATCTTGGGACACTAAATGTAAAAACTATCAGAAAACTTTGATGCAATGATATCAATCATAGTGTACATCGTAGAATAGGGTAACCATAAGTCCCCAATTTCCGGCAACAGTCCCCAGATGAGGTATGTGTCATTGGCCAAATTTTCCCTGTGTTGAGTTCAGCAGCAAACTGAGGAAGAACAATACAATTCTTTAACAGATACACTCATCAGAGAAACATAGCCATTAATCGAACAAGCTTCACCAGTATTGCCAGCACCAGCAATTGTGGTGAGTTCAATTTTTTAAAAATGTTTCCCCAGATTTGGTTTACAAAATATGGTCACTTTATCATAGAACCAGACATGTACAGCACAACAGAAGACCACCTGCCCCATTGTGTTTGTCCTGTTCTTTGAAAAAACTTTTTTTTTGAAAATATATATTTATTTATAAATATATTTAGTACATCAAAAATCCCAAACAGACCCAACATGCAACATCTTTTGTTACAATTTTTCCTTATCTCCCGATACAAAAAACATTCCATTGATCCAATCAGTCCATTTACTTGCCTTTTCCTCAAACCTCTGCAAATTACTCCTTTTTTAATATCAACTAGTTCTCTCGTGAAAGCTCATATGCATCCTGCCTCAACCACCACACCCAGCAAGGCATTCCACATCTAACAACTCTCTGTGTAAAAAAAAACTTTCTATTCTCCCTGTTTGCTAATTATCTTAAATTGGGGCCTCCAGTCACTGACTCACTGACCAGCTGAAAAAAATTCTTCCTATTGACTTTTTAAAAAGCCCTCATAATTTTAAAGAGCTCTATCAAGCTTCTCCTCAACCTTCTCTGTTCCAATGAAAGAATGATGTACAGATTTATATTTGCTGCCACATTTTGAATGATATTAGAACGGACTTCAATCAAATGAATTCATTGCAAATTCACTAGCTGCTTTGAAATTGGAAGGCAACAAGAATAACAACTTGCAGTTACATGGTGCCTTTTGCAAAGGATATTTCAAAGCACATTATAATAATCCTTGTGTTCATTTTAAATAGCGCTTATTCTGTTGTTAAGACATCTTAAAGCACTTCACAGAATATACCGTAAAGTGAATTGACCGTATATTTTGTGGGTGAAATGCAACAGCCAATTGGGCATAGCAGTATCTCACAAACTGTCGTGGATTGAATGATTTATTTTTGAAGGGATTATTACCCCTAGAAAGCGATCCGCCAATCGACTAACAGCCGAGTTCTTACTTCTGGTAGGTAAACAGAGGCGTGTGGAAACTTGCCTGAGGTTTTGCCCCACCCCGGAATTTAACCCGGGTCCTCACCCCATCGAGAGGCGAGTGCTCTAACCAATGCGTTACAGAACTCTAAAGCATTTTACCAAGACAATGTGGATAACAGAAGAAAGTCAATAGAAATAAGGGGAATTATAACTGTTGAAGTTTCACAGATGTTTATTTTTGATTTTCTGTCGTTTATAAATGTCCTCCTGATGTGAAAGGTGCTATACAAATGTTATTGTTAATAGGGAGGATATTACATCTTGTTACAGAAATGGAGTCAACACCAAGTTGCATGACTGGTTGACTGGTGCAAGGAAGATTGATAGCATTCAAAGAAAACTGGACACATTAGCAGATGGCCGACAGATGGATTTTAATATGGATAAATATAAGCCAATGAATATTGTAATACGAAGTATGAAGCATGTGAACAGGGTTGACACATGCCCATTAGCAAGGATAGAAAAGAATTTGCTCGTATTTATTAACTATTTATTAGAGAATACAACTGGTGTAATCGAACACCAGAAAGCATCACAAAAGTATTTGATTATCAGCTGATCCTTGTTATTTATCTGGGGCCACAGAATCGTAGAAATGTATAACGCAGAAGAAGGCCATTTAGTCCTTCGAATATGCAACGACTCTCAGAGCAAGCGGCACTAACAAACTCACTGCCTTGCGTTATCCCCATACCCCTTCAAGCTTCTGATTTTCATATACTTGTCTACTTCCCTCTTGAATCCACATTGGACTCTGTCTACCACCTTACTTGGCAGAGCATTCCACATCCCAACACCTCTCTGCATCAAAACAACTGTCAAACCCCTATAATTGTGTATACCTGTCAGGTCCCCTCTCAATCTGTTCTGCTCCAACGAAAATAAACACAACTTTTCCAATCTCTCCTCAAACTGTAACTCTGTTATACATTCACATAAAGCTGTACGGGCATAGCTAGAATTTGTGAAGTACTCCCACAAAGAATGAGGGCAGGGGAAGGGGAAAAAGGCTGAGGCTGAGTAGGAACTGGGCCAAATCAGAGGAACTGGGGAGAATGAAGCTGAACCATGATATATGCATTCAAGACTGTTGCCTGAAGTTCTCTTTCATGTGAGACCAGTTTTGACAGAGTAAACAGAGAGACGCTACTTCCACTGGTGAGGGAGTCAGTAACTGGATATAAAATATTCACAAGAAGAGTGAAAGGGGATCTTAGGATAGTTATATTCACACACAGAGCTTTACACTTTGCAAGATGCAATTTTTTATTGTCCACACCACCCATTCCTCTGCCAGAGCTCATAACTTTACATTTCTCCCTATCAAACTGCTTCTGCCACCTTTTTGCCCAAACCTGCAATTTCTCCTGATCCCTCTAAATTTGTAGTTACATTCAGTACATCCTTTTTCATGATCTAGAGTCTAATCACTCTAATGCTTGCATAGTTGGTTATTCGCTATAGAGAAGGGAATGTGCATATATAATATAGTAAACTCCAGATAACTTGGCCCTGTCTTAACTCGTCACTATCACTTACTTAGGTTATATTAATATTGATATTAAGGGATATCGTTTTACTTGTCACTCTGCTTAAAACATAACTCGTCACATTGCAGAAATTCTTGTAAGTACATACAATGTAAAATTGATCGGATAAATAGCCTATAAGATGGTATCTAGCAATACCATGGTCTCTTGTCCTTTCCTGTGACTGGTGCTTGTGCATAGCTGAGGTTTGGCAAGCATGCTCAGGTGCGTTGTCCTCAACGAAATGGGAAAGGGAAAGAGTGTGGTTGAGGGGCCTAGGAAAATACGTTGAGGACCAATGGGTAACTTGTCACGTCGGGTAATTCGTCACTGAGCCTTTTTCCTTTGGAGGGATATGTTATCTGGAGTTTACAGTATATAACTACAACAACAACAAATTACATTTGTATAACGCCTTCCACGTCGGGAGGACCTCCAAAGGTGTTGGACAGTCAGGGATTTATTATAAATCTATTTATTAGATTTATTATAAATATAACCTCCTGCACAATATAATTACAGTGTACAAACAGCCAACCTAAAACACTCAGGATAAAAAGTAGCCAGTGTTTCCCACAAAAAAAGTAACAGTTATCTTAACTGCTTTCACAACCTACCTCCTATCAGTTGGGAGAATGTGGAAGCTAAACCATTTCTGCAGATGTAACAGAACGTAACATGATTTAACTAACGGGGGAAGAAGTTAAACACCCACATAGAAAATTAACTGGCAACACACAAAGAAAGAAAATAATTTGTGAAATGAATAGTGCCTATACCTTTAAATTTAAAGGTTAAACATACACTAACCTCGTTCTATATAACACTAAAGAAAAGAGAATGATAAAATGAAAATACTGTACTATGAAAAACACAGTTGCAGTCTGAGAAGATTACTTCAAGGAAAGGCAGGTCTGTAAAACATAAAATAAAAGAAGAAAAAAAAGGGCCCAGAAATATCAAATGGGGACATTTGCAAAGTACCTGTACAAGGAAGAGGGGGGAAAAGGCAAAAAAAAAAGGGTCATCATTGTAAATCAGGGAAATAAGAAGACTTGTGAAACAGATCACAGGATAAATTTAGCCCCTGTCACAGTCTTGCTGTCAATTCAGGAAAAGGTTGCAGTGAATTTTGTCTCAATGTTGAAGTCGCAGCGTTGGATCACGGTTGTCATTCAGACTCTTGGCTCGACTGAGAAAGGCACTTTTGTCAGAAAGTATTTCTCAGAGTGCAGTATTCCCAGGTAGGGCTCGCACGAGGCTTCTCCATCAACCACAGGACCGTGAAGGTATCAGGAGATTATTAATGAGCATTAATTATACTCCACATGAGACCAACAATCCTAATCCTCTCCCCCCCAGAACACCACGTGTTCCCCCCCCCACCACGCGTTCCTCCCACCACACCTCGCCACCCCCCAACACCACGCCTCCCCCCACCACACCTCCCCCCCACCACCACGCGTTCCTCCCACCACACCTCGCCCCCCCCACAACACCACGCCTTCCCCCCACCACCACGCCTTCCCCCCCCACCACACCTCGCCACCCCCAACACCACGCCTCCCCCCCACCACACCTCGCCACCCCCCAACACCACGCGTTCCCCCCACCACACCTCCCCCCCACCACCACGCGTTCCTCCCACCACACCTCGCCCCCCCCACCACACCTCGCCCCCCCCACCGCACCACGCCTCCCCCCACCACACCTCGCCCCCCCCCACACACCACGCCTTCCCCCCACCACACCTCGCCACCCCCACAACACCACGCCTCCCCCAACCACCACGCGTTCCCCCCAACACCACACGTTCCCCCCCACCACACCTCGCCACCCCCAACACCACGCGTTCCCCCCACCACCACCACACGTTCCCCCCCACCACACCTCGCCACCCCCACAACACCACGCCGTTCCCCCCACCACACCTCGCCACCCCACAACACCACGCGTCCCCCCCACCACACCTCGCCCCCCCCCAACACCACGCCTCCCCCCCACCACACCTCGCCACCCCCACAACACCACGCCTCCCCCCCACCACACCTCGCCACCCGCACAACACCACGCCTCCCCCCCACCACACCTCGCCACCCGCACAACACCACGCCTCCCCCCACCACACCTCGCCACCCGCACAACACCACGCGTTCCCCCCCACCACACCTCGCCCCCCCCCAACACCACGCCTCCCCCCCACCACACCTCGCCACCCGCACAACACCACGCGTTCCCCCCACCACACCTCGCCACCCGCACAACACCACGCGTTCCCCCCACCACACCTCGCCACCCCCCAACACCACGCGTTCCCCCCACCACACCTTGCCACCCCCCAACACCACGCGTTCCCCCACCACCACCACACGTTCCCCCCCACCACACCTCGCCACCCCCAACACCACGCGTTCCCCCCACCACCACCACACGTTCCCCCCACCACACCTCGCCACCCCCAACACCACGCGTTCCCCCCACCACCACCACACGTTCCCCCCCACAACACCTCGCCACCCCCACAACACCACACGTTCCCCCCACCACCACCACCACGCGTTCCCCCCACCACACCTCGCCACCCCCCAACACCACGCGTTCCCCCCACCACCACCACACGTTCCCCCCCACCACACCTCGCCACCCCCCAACACCACGCGTTCCCCCCACCACCACCACACGTTCCCCCCCACCACACCTCGCCACCCCCACAACACCACGCGTTCCCCCACAACACCTCGCCACCCCCACAACACCACACGTTCCCCCACCACCACCACACGTTCCCCCCCACCACACCTCGCCACCCCCACAACACCACGCGTTCCCCCCACCACCACCACACGTTCCCCCCCACCACACCTCGCCACCCCCACAACACCACGTCTCCCCCCACCACCACACCTCCCCCCCACCACCACGCGTTCCCCCACACACACGCGTTCCCCCCCACCACACCTCGCCACCCCCACCACCACGCGTTCCCCCACAACACCACGCGTTCCCCCCACCACACCTCGCCACCCCCCAACACCACGCGTTCCCCCCACCACCACCACACGTTCCCCCCCACCACACCTCGCCACCCCCACAACACCACGCCTCCCCCCCACCACCACGCCTTCCCCCCCAACACCACGCGTTCCCCCCCACCACACCTCGCCACCCCCACCACCACGCGTTCCCCACAACACCACGCGTTCCCCCCACCACACCTCGCCACCCCCCCAACACCACGCGTTCCCCCCACCACCACCACACGTTCCCCCCCACCACACCTCGCCACCCCCACAACACCACGCCTCCCCCCCACCACCACACCTCCCCCCCACCACCACGCGTTCCCCCACAACACCACGCGTTCCCCCCCACCACACCTCGCCACCCCCACCACCACGCGTTCCCCCACAACACCACACGTTCCCCCCCACCACACCTCGCCACCCCCACCACCACGCGTTCACCCCCACCACCACGCGTTCACCCCCACCACCACGCGTTCCCCCCACCACCACGCGTTCCCCCCACCACACCTCGCCCCCCCCACAACACCACGCGTTCCCCCCACCACGCCTCCCCCACGCCTCCCCCCCCCACCACCACGCGTTCCCCCCACCACACCTCGCCCCCCCCACAACACCACGCGTTCCCCCCCCACCACCACGCGTTCCCCCCACCACACCTCGCCACCCCCCCACCACGCCTCCCCCCCACCACCACGCGTTCCCCCCACCACGCCTCCCCCACGCTTCCCCCCCCCACCACCACGCGTTCCCCCCACCACACCTCGCCCCCCACACAACACCACACGTTCCCCCCCCCCACCACCACGCGTTCCCCCCACCACACCTCGCCACCCCCCCACCACACCTCGCCTCCCCCACCACCACGCGTTCAGCCCCCACCACCACGCGTTCCCACCACCACACCTCCCCCACCACCCCTCTCCCCCACCCCACGCCTCTTCCCCCACCCCCACGCCTCTCCCCCTCCACACCACATGCCTCTCCCCCTCCTATGCCTCCCCCTCAATGCTTCTCCCCCACTCCTGCCCCCACGTCCCTCTCTCTCGTGTATGCCTCGAGTTTCCTCTTAAATGCATTGATGCTTTCTCACCAGCCGCTGTGTAAAGATTTCTAGTTGCTGCTGAAAAAGAAAGATGTGTGCCTGGTCTCTGCGTTGCTAACCAGGGAGCAGCTTGGCATAATTAATACCCCCAGTCTGCGGAGTATTTTGTTAATAATGTCAAGTTACTGACACTTTGCCAAATGTCAGGAAGATAAATACCCCTGTATAGAATCACGTTTAGCTGTCCACTGTACATAGCTCTGCCCTCGAGCAGAATTTCTTTTTGAACGGGAAAGAATGTGAAAAGCAGCACAGTGTCTCTCTGTTGGTTCAGATCGATTGCATGGACCGCAATCAAGAGGTGAGATCTTTGAATGAAGGGGTCATGGTCAGACAGTTCAAATAGCTTTCTGAGGAATCTTTACATGAAAGGTATCAGAGCTGAGTCCTCAACCCTTTCAGGCACTCCAAATTCTCTCGATCCTACAATCTGTTATGCAGCTTATCTGCTTTTGAGGAGACTGCACGTTCCCCATCTATGATCAATAATAACAATCCTTGCATTTGGTATAGGCTGTATTTATATTACAAGGACGTATCAAAGAACTTCACAGAATTTATTATAAAATGGAGTAACTGTGTTTTTGCAGGCAAATACAGCAGCACAATTGCACCCAGCAAACTAACTTCTTATCTAACAGATAAGCGACCTTTTCCTCTTACATGGCTGAACACAGGTCATCCTTGGGGACAATTTCTAGCCATTCCTCCAGCACTTGCACATCCCAGTGTAGCAGCCCGCATCTACTTTATCTCCAGGTGAATGGAGGCTTGTACAGAGACAATCTGATTGAATTGCTTCGATTAGAATCATTGGTTTTGCATGGTTATAAAGATCTGACATTCTAGCACTGTGTGAGTGTCTTTCAGAGCATGAAAGCGCAAGTTGCTCCAATGCTGGTTGCATGCCAATCCCTAACTTTGTTTTACTAGGTGTTAAGATAATTTTGGGTCCAATTAACTTAATTTGTTTCAACCATGCTCCAGAAGTAATAAATAGCAATATCTACACAATAGGGGAACAATCTTGGCTAAAACAGCAGAAATAGGTTCTGCTATAAAGACGCTAGTACAAAGTACAGCTGCTCTATTCATGGGAGGTTGCAAGATTAAATCTTAACATAATAATACTCATTTTTAACTTGGCATAAATATTTGCTGTGCTCTTTGGCATATGGGATTTGTGATATATTTCTTCATCTTGTGTTTTTTGTAAAAACAAAGGTGTTTCATTCACATTTCTGAGTCCTGTAGCGTAGTGGTTAGATAACTCGCCTTGCAAGCGAGAAACCGGGTTCTATTCCCGGCAGGGCGAATGGTGTGCAAGTTTCCTTACTGCATGTGCCTCTGTTTACCTAGCAGTAAGTAGGAACCCGGTTGTTAGTCGATTGGTGGATCTCTTTTCCGGGGATAATAATTCCTTCAAAAAAAATATTAAATTGATCACACTTCAATCCATGACTATTTGTGGGACACAGCTGTGCTCAATTGGCTGCCCCGTTTAGCCCACAAAATATACAGTCAATTCACTTTACATTATAATCTGTGGTGCGTTTTGAGACATCTCAAAGATGTGATAAGGCGTGGAGTCCTGTAGCTCAGTGGTTAGAGCACTCGCTTTGCAAGCGAGAGACCTGGGTTCAATTCCAGGCAGAGGGCGAAAACTTGGGCAAGTTTCCTTACTCCACACGCCTAATAATAATCCCTCCAAAACCAAAAACAATAATAAATTGATCATTTTCAATCTACGACTGTTTGTGGGACATTGCTGTCAATTCACTTTGCAGTGTGTTCTGTGAAGCGCTTTGGGACGTCCTTCCGACGTGAAAAGCGCTATATCAAATGCAAGGATTATTATTATTATTATTATATCAAATGCAAGGATTATTATTTCACTGAAAGGTGGCTATGGGATTTGTTACATGGATATTTAAGAGTTAATCATCTGTCTTGTGCACATCCCTTATGCTGTGGATCTTAGATTCATTTATGTATTAATGAAGCACATAGTTTTAGACTGTAATTGTCACACATACATAGAAATCATTTGTCCTTGTGCATTTTTAGAAGCACATTTTGAAAAAGTTTTTCCAGTATTGCAGGAAAATATATTTTC